CGGTCTTGCTTACTGGAATTTTAATCTTTTCTCAACTGTTGTTGCTGCTTTCTTCTCTTCACTCATAACAGCAAAGGTCACAAAGTATTTTAATCTATTTTTTATACACACTACATAGCAAGTGATTCTATAGTGTAATGGTTAACACATTTTCTTGGCAAGCAAAAGGCTGTTACTTTGATTCCAGCTGAAAGCACAAATGCCCTTTGGGGATGTATGAGGAAGGGTATCTAGTGTAAAACACCTTCTGTGATGAGGGAGCAGTGGTTCGCAAAGATAAGAACATGTGTCTGTCAGTGTCTCAACCACATTTTTCTTTTATCAAGTCAAATTAATACACATATCTTCAATTAATCTTTGAAATGATGCTTATAAAACACGTTTTAACAACAACATTTTTCATTGCATCTGTCTTCTAGGTTTAAAGGAGTTTGTGTCCATGAGGGCCAGCTTCATGCTCTCACAGAGGTAGGAGAACATATGCACAAACACACAATTTCACACTGAAGCTTCTGTGCACACTAATATGTGAGATCAAAGCGTGGCTGCTAATGAAAGGTCGAGCACTGGGGCACCTATGCTATAATTCTTTTTGTGTTAGTGTGGCTTGTGTGCGTTCCTGTTATTTTCAAGTGAACACCACGTAATCCACGAGCACAACACAGAAGTACACAAGCCTGTAATTGTGGAAAACCAAGAGAACTGAATGTCCTTATTTATGTGTAACCCTTGGCCTCTGTGTGAGTAAGAGGGAGGGAGAATTTGATACAGGCAACGAATCTAGCTTTCCATGGAAGGTAAACGTTTGGATATCTTTGTGATTAATGTTTTTTAAATTCACATAGCCCAATTTTAGAAATGTAACATTTTGGTTGCGATAGACAAAATTAGTCACAGAAAATGTCCAATAAGCACATGACATATCTGAGTCTGAATGAAAGGATGAATTGCACAGAACATCAGGTTTTATCCTCCAAATTACAAAAGAATAAACTGAGGCAGAAACAGAACCCTTGTGGCGTTTATGTTATAGTAAAGGGCCCCTTGTTACCAAGTAGCTTTGATTTTTCTTAAGTCATTCTGAATACTGAACAGTATTCTCCAACATCGCAAGTTGCTTTTTGCTTCTCATGTGTGTTTTTTGGGGTAATTTAAATAATAAATACAATGGGGTAGTTGTAGCTCGGGAGGTAGAACAGGTCATCTACTAATTTGAAAGTTGGTGGTTTGATCCCTGACTGCTTCAAAGTATCTTTGGGCAACTACTGAACCCCAAGTTGTTCACCGGGGTGCGAGTGCTAGATAGAAAACAGGCGTAGAAAAAAGTGCTTCTATAAATGTGAGTGAATAAGAGAAGGTGTACAAAGCTTTTTGCTTCTGTCAGTCTCAGAGCTCGAGACATTCAGACATAGATTTCTTTTTGTCTGTATTCCTGTAACAAAAGGTTTTAACAGGAGTTTATTAGCCTTGTTCTAACCCCTAACATGGAGATTACTAAATTATGAATTAATTAATTTTGAAATACTAATGTTATGCAAACTACAACTCCTGTTTTCTTGCAACACGTGTTGCGCATGTTGCAATAAAATTTGCCCTCTGCTGCTTAATGCAGTGTAAATATAGTCATATCACAGACTGCGTTTTCTGTTTGATAGGTTTTTAAAATTTTATACACACATAATCTGCCTAATGATGTGCTAATCTCAATCTACATGAACTTTCATTTATACAGATAAACATCAACACTTCAGCCACTGATGAGCCAGTTCATCTCTGCAAATGATTATGTATGAATTTGCATGATATGGTCAGTTACATGTAAATGTGGGGTGATATACATGGACTATCTGAAGAAAGCATACACTGTTAGAGATGCTCCCGGACTCACACATATGTTCTAAATTACACTGCTGTGCTGCACAGTGAATGTGCTTATTGTAGCCTTGACAAATAGAGACTGACACCAGTTTTATAATAGAACACATCTTGAGATGCTGAATTTGCACACATGGTTGATCGTAGTTGCAAAGGGAAGTACTGCATATTGTACTATGCATACGCACTGTGGTAGGTCTTGTATTCCTTCCTTCAGCGTAAACAGATCCTGTTGTGTCGTGTCGGGGCCAAGCTGTATGCTCGGACTCTGGTAGCAGGCTCATGGCGTTTTGTTACCTGACCCCCGCTATGTGGCTGTGCTCAGAGGAAGAGCAGAATGAAGTTACTGCATAGCCTCAAGCTGCTTCAGTAACACTGACTGACACGCAGACACAAGCACATCCCATGTTAGCACATATGTTAGCTTGAAACTGAAACACTGAAGTGCTGTTAGCATTAAAGAGAGCAAAAGTTGAAAATGATAGATTTGATTTTATTATTGTTTCATGCACAGAAAATAAGTCCAGCATGAAAGAGCTTATAAGACACAAATAGCAGAAGAAAGAAGAAAAGAAAAAGAAGAAAATTAAATGGTGTTGGAAAAGCACCATAACTCACAACTGCTAAATAAATAATCCAGTCTGACGTCTTCTGACGATATAAAGGCAACCTTTTCATTCTGTCAGTGCACAAAAACATGTCTGGATTTTTACCAGACGTTTCATTAAATAAAGTCATTCTTAACTCATCTAAATAAGAATAATCCAGGAGAACACTGAAAAACTGAAGAGTACAACCTGCATACCTCCCTTGTATTAATTCTAAAACTTAAAATGATAGTTTTAGCATTGTTTTCCTTCTTGTTTCAAAGATTGGCTTTGAATGGTCTATAGCATATGATAGAATTAAAACCTTTTTCCCCATTTAGGTAAGGAAATCATTTTAGATCTACAACTTTCTTTTTAAATCTTTATTGCATTATGATGATCTGCTCTTTATAAATGTGCCTGATAGTAACTAGATAAGGTGTACCTGTACATAATTATGCATTATGTTTTGTTATTAGCTATGTAAATTGTACACACATCATTGCTGTTTGTCTTCAAACTTTCCTGTTGGATTCTTTCTATATAGAACTCTCCCCTCCTGGTTCCCTCTAACGTCTGCGCATACACGTGTATCAGGAAGGCTTTTGCTTTTATATATTTGATAAATGTTTCTCCACAGAGTAAGAACAGAATCAGACAAAAACCTTTAAATTTGTCTGTTTTTCCTGGAAGTATATAAAGAAGGGCCTGAAATTCTCAGAACTGGTTACAGTGGAGGATTTGAAGTCAATTTTAAAGGATCAGGAAAATGCTACTCTTGGTTAATATAATTTCTCCTCAATTTGCACTGAAATTGGTTTTAACCTTCATATTTTATTAAATATGTTTTGGATATTGTGCTGTGCGCTGTCCTCTTGGCCAGGGCCCTCCTGAAATAGTATCTTTGACCTGCATAAATATATATAGGCTATAATAAAGGGTATAATGTAGGATAAATATAGGATATAATAAAATGAATCGTTGCATGATGTGGGTATTTGGCATCTGCACTGGATTACCGTTTCACAGGCAAATTATCCTTTGAAGACTTAGCACAATGTACAGTGATCTAGACCTCAAAGACTTGTTCTGCTTCTGCTCAGCTTCATTTTAATGCATCTTATATGAACTGCTTCTGCAATCGTAATCTGGGCTAATGGTAAGTCATGACCCATGCCAGGATTATACTGCTGTTTGAAGCTGCTCCCGGCAGCAAACAAGAACTCTTTGTTTGAGTCTTTCCAGGTTTTTTTAACCTGAAACACAGACAGTCCTCCAGAACAATTGTGACCAGCCATATGTTTCTTATTTCCTCAGCTCACTGCATCTTAAATGATCATACTCGGTACTTGCATGGCCCAAACGTGCCATGTTTAATGATCAGTTTGGTACATCAGTACTTCCATAAACAGGATGAGGTAAATTCCGGGAAATACACAATGAATGAGTGAGAGGCTTTTTAAAATATAACTTTACTTCCACTTTGCTGCTTTTAGTTTACACGACAGGTGCACTCTTCTGTAAAATCGTGTGATTTGCTTTTCTGACTAGGCATACTTTGTGCGTATTCTGTTGGTGTGATTATAAACTGTGCGAAGCAGAAAAGTTGGATTACCGGTAGTCTTTTTTTTTTTCTTTTTAATTGACTGCACTTGGGATTTCTCCTGTTGTGTTTCTCTGTTTGGAAACTCCAATCAGGCGTAGACAACAGATGTTGAACTCTGTGGCTACTGAGGAATTTACTGGACAAATACTGTAATCCTCTGACATCTTGAAGCGGTGTGCGCATGTGTGCCACAGTATATCTGAGGGTAAAAGACCGCAGGCAGCTCAATATTTTGGGTCCAATCGTCCAGTTGCTTGAAATCCACAAACATCCAAAGGCACAAAAAGCACCTCTGCTGATCCCCTGTAGAAATTGAGAAAGACCGTAGTCCGGTACATGGAATTATCATCTGTGGAGATTAAGACAAACATTTCGGCAAACTTATGTGAAGAATATTGTTGGTAGTCACTGATGACGCGACACAGTTTTTACATATTTTTGCAAAATAATTTGCATTCTTTATTCATTTTTTTTTCTTCAGTTTTACGTAATGTGGATTTGTAGGTTGGCCTATCTAATTTATGTTGGGCTTTGGAATCTAAACCTTTATGACATTTAACCCTGAAATGATCCGGCTAATATTCAGTTGTTTAAAAAAAGATTCAGCTTGATTGGTATTAATCTGACTAGAAGCCCAGTTTATTTATTGCATTAAGAATTAGAGTACAGTATCAGCTCCCATTGCTCTAATTCAACTCCTGTCAGCCATACAGTAACCAGAGTTAAACCCGAGCAACTCCTTATCTCATCTCTCACAGTTTTAACTACAGTTGGTTTTGATATGTGACAGGATTAGAAGGTCTTTGCATGCAAGACCCGAGGTCAGCCACATTCTTCTGGACCAAAGCGGACGGACAAACTGAAGGCCCCAGCATAGCTTAAACCCACGGAGCAGGTTTACTAATTCGCCTGCACGCTCTTCAGCCTACACGGTGGGCAGATGGTTCCCATTCATGTTAAGGAAACCAGCCATTCTGCCAGCCAGTTGAACAGGCTGCAGGCCAGATTTTGTTCAGGCAGTTGGTCGATACATCACCTAACCCACCAAGCAGGCTGTCAGTAGTCACTGAATCCAACTGATCAGTCTTCTACTCTGAGCTGTCAAATGAGCAGCTAGTTTGGGTAACATGATTAGTCAGAACCTCTGTGCAGCTTGAATTTACCTCTGTATTTGATAATGATGACGAGTGTGATTGCACCACTGTGACTAATGGATTGTAAAGCCAGAGAGTCATTCTGTTCTGTTGCTGGCAACAGGGAGTGTTATCTTGCCATGACTGGAGTATTCACACTAACTCTGCTTCCACTGAAAGGAATTTGATATCTCCCCATCTCACTGTTATAATGACCTGTGTAGGAAGGAAATGCTTTGTTTTTCAAGCATAGTAAAGCAGTTCCTGGTTCAGTAATACCAATAATGTGAAATAATTTGTTCTTCCGCACATTTTGAAACCATATTGCATGTTGTCTGTTCTCAAGCTTCAGCATTTTAAAAGCAATTTTCTGTGCCCCACTTTGTTCAGGGTTATTTTAGGTCTGAATGTAAATCTTGTTTAAAAATAATCGGATATTTACCAGTTAATTTATAGATGTGTCTTTCTCTTCCTGTAGTACATCAATGGTGGGAACCTGGAACAACTTCTGGACAGCAACAAACACCTGAGCTGGCCAACCAGGGTGAAATTTGCCTGTGATATCGCCAGCGGTCTGGCCTACTTGCACTCTAAAGGCATATTCCACCGGGACCTCACCTCCAAGGTTAGCTAAATGGGTAATTGTGTCATTAAGAGGTGAAACGGGAGCTAAAAATGGTCTGCTTGTATCCCCCCAAAAATGAACACTTGGACATCTTCAGATTAGAACCCCTGTGGTGTATTTCTTGTAAGTGCTTTTGTGTGGAGAACAATATAAAATGTTTGACTTTGGCTTCTTTATGAGTTTCCTGTGGGGTAGTATATAATGAAATACTAGCTGTACTAAACAGATAATTGTTTTTCCATTTTCTTATCCCAGGATAATATTCATAAGACTTTCTTAGTGTTATTTAGAAACCTTAAAGTATGTTCAGGTGTGTCCCTGTAACACAGTTAACAAAGAGTTCAGCACGTTAGGAATAAGTGGAACCTAAAGACCACTAACACTGTCAGATGTGATATTTTGTACCAAGCAGCTTCTAGTTTTCCAACTTGATCCAGAGCCATGTTGGCGCAGCGAGGGAACATGAGCAGTATGCTGTAAAATCATATTTATTTCCTCTCACTGCTTTTAGCTCTTCACCTGTTTACAAAATAATAATAATAATAAGTACCTGCAAAAAAATAAAGCGTGTGAAATTTTCCACTGGACTAGATGAAAACGCAACACGCAAGAAAAGCCTTTTGTGGTCATACGTGTACTCATAGCCTTGCAAATTATACTTCCTCAAATTAATAGAGAGTCTATTTACTTGGACTCATACCAGTCGGGGAAGTAAATGAACAAAGCAACATTGTCTGATTTGTATTTATTTAAAGCTATGCACTGTTCTAAAGACTCTCTCCTCTTATTGTACTGTCCTGCTTTATTGGAGAAAGGATTTTGTAGTTTACAGAGCAACATGTTGCTGTACCATTTATAAAGGCAGGATAGAAATCTAGTTGTGCACTCACTGTGTCGTACGTTACTCCAGTCAGTTGAGCTGAATGTTAATGTTTTCTACGTACTCACAGTTTATTTATATGCCAGTCTGAGTGGCTGTGACTACTAAATGTCACAGTTAAGTTACACAGGGGTGTGCAGGCGAAGTCAGAAGTGCATGTGCGTTAGAAATTTCAATAAACAGCATATTTACAGCCTGTTAATTTAATGTGAAGAGGAATGTTCAACAGGAAAGATGCAACACCGTGTACAGTAATGGTGAGGAAGTAGAGGTTTGGACTGGTATTACTTGCTCACAAAAGTTTGTTGTTTTTTTTTAGTTTTTTTTTTTATGCAACTTCCTCAAGCAAACGTGTCTTTCTGCATTCACAGAACTGCCTGATCAAGAGTGATGACGGCATGTACACAGCAGTGGTGGGAGACTTTGGCCTGGCAGAAAAGATCCCTACCAATCTGTAAGGAGGACTCAGTGATCTCAGCACATATTTACACCTGGATCATAACTAGTATTAAAAATAATAAACAGTAACTTACATGACAGAGAAGCATTTGGAGGCCGTGCTTCTGGTTTTCTACCAGTGTTACAGTCATGCTTATTCATACTAACACTGAATCTAAATTGCGTTGTAAAAGGGGCCGGCTGTAACCGTGAAGTCATTGATAATTATCACCCAGTGTTAGCTTGATCTGTCCTTGTACCCTTTCATTCACTCACTGTTTTTAGTTTTTACATTTAGTGTGTTTGCGTCACAGCTGTTCTCATCCACCTTGTACTAGACTCAGTAATTTACAGCTGTCAAAAACCACACGTACCCCACGTACTGATCGACAAAGAGTAAGGGAAAACACTGATGAACAGAAGCACATTTAGTAGGTAAAACCGCAGGCTCTTTTTTTCTTTTTAAAACCCAGATCTAAAATTAGATTGATTTTAAGACAGATGACTCAAAACTGAAGTTTAACAAGGCTGATGTCAGCTAGTGTGTAACCAAACTGAGATATCCGTTCGCTTGTTTTATCTGGTTAAAAAAAGTTTATACAACTTCCAAGCTGTATTGGACCAGTTTTTTGCAGTAAAGTACTTGCTTGTAGTGGCTACTAACATCTCTAGGTGTGTCACATAGTTTGGTTTATGTAATTTAACTGACTGGGATGATGTGTTTGCAGCGTAGCCTTTTTAGCTTTGTCTTGATTTGTTTTAATTTATCTGCACCACACTTCCATTTGTGTCAGGAATAAATGATCATATTGCTACTCCATTCAAATGCTGCTCATTGTAATGATTGCCAGAGAATATTACAGGTCATAAGATTAATTCCAGCCTGTTTTTTGTTCATTACTGCTCTCCACATGATTCTTTTTGTACCTTTCTGTTGTTGCTGTTACAGCTAACTCACTTAGAGTCTTCCTCCTCTTCTTCTTCCTCCTCCTCATACCACTCACAGGGTTATTTACTGACACATAGGTCAGGCACTAACATTAACAGCCGCCTCTACATTTCACATTCTCTTCTTTAGTGTTTTGATAACAGTAGGATAGTATCAGTGCCGGGTTTTACTTTTTTAATCCTGCAGCAGAGTAAAGAAGGAGTGTCTCTGTTTTGTCTTTTCTAAACTATATTCAGGAGCGCTGTGCATAGAGACCAAATAATAACTTATGTAATGCTTTATGCATGTGCATATGTAAACATGTATGGGTGTTACTGTGCTGAAAGTAGCCACTCCCGTTATTATTTCTTATTAAGTGGGAGAGTGCAGTTTGTCAGGAAATGATGAATCTTGGCTTGCTTAATCCAGTTTAAAAATGTATGAAGCAAAGGTCATTTAAGTGAACGAATTAGAGAGTTAAGAGAAATGTTACTATATCATTTTAAATGTCATAAAAGGTGATTAAAAGGTCTGCCTGGTAGAGTCAATACCAAAAACCATTGGTAGTAAATTAAAATAGAATGTGGTTATTTGTAAATCTTATAGACCTTATAGACTTCTTTTAATAGCAGAACTGAGGAGACCTGCTGCTAGACCTTTGGGAGAGAAATATCGTCCCCTTTTTGTCCGATATGCGATTCTCGCTGCTCAAAAATACTGTGTTCTTGTTTTGTATTTTTCATTCCA